TTTTATTGAGCATTGGTTGTTTGCAATCACAGTGAAAATTGAAGATCCTTGCTAGTGAAGATTATTTTCCAAATTGATCAATGAATATGCAGCTCCTCCAATGACATTGGTTTGGCTATATATCGAAAAATTTCTTCCTTGTCGAGTTAGGTCCATGTCGAGCAAGTCTAAATTGACACCATTCCTCTCGTTTTTCTTTATTTCTTTCTTTCAAACTCATAAAGTGAATTTTGTAGTCTTTAAATCAAAGTTTCTATACAGCAGCTTTAGAAAGCGTTCTTAAATATGTGGCTCGATCGTTAGATATCATCGATCTCCATTAAGGTCCTTCAATTGCTTAATTAAGGGAAGCAAGCAAGCAATCGACCATAACTACGGGATCTATATTAGACCCCCTATGGTCCCTTTAATCACTTCCACATTCTTATGATCCCAAATCCGGGTGTTACCTAAATCCCTATATAATCTTAATAAGATCCATGGCCATATGGGAAACCGGGGCAAGTAATATTGCTATTTTCACTACGAGTTTTATCGGTTTAATGGATACTAGATATTTGTAGACCTACATAACAAACAAAGAAACATGCACGTGCTCTAAAATGTCATCGGACTCTAACATCTCAACATCTTGCCAAGTAAATCTTAATACTTGGGTTTCTTAAATTCTGTGGCTCCATTCACTTCATCGCCATGAAGGTTATAACATGGTTTTAAAAAACGATCGTTACGTCGTGTAACAATCGTTATATAATGGTAACGGGGTAACCCGTTATCATTTTTTGGCGTTGTAAGGGCCTTAATGCCATTTCACACCTATAACGATAGATAACGGCGTTACCGTTATGTAACGCCGTTATTAGCCATTATATAACGACGTTATATATAAAAATATTTAAACTGCTGAAAAAAAAGCTCGAAATGCAGTTCGCACATTTTTTTATCTTCTTTTGCTTTCTTTTTCCCGTAGCTACTAATGAAAGGAGGGTCATTTTTTTTACCTTATTTTGCTTTCTTTCTCCTACAATTACTTAAATTACAATGTATTGTATTATTTTTCATGTGATATTAATTTATTGGAAGTGTTATTAATTACTTTTTATAATAAATTTAACTATTGTTATATGTTATTAAACTATTAGAGATATGATTACTTATTATTATGTTTAATTAGTAAAGCTGCCAAAAATGTGAATTAGAATAAATTTATTACTAGTTGTTAATTTATTCACACAATTAACTACCGCAATCGTTATTTTACGACCGCAATGAGCCGCGACCCGTGATCACGATCGCGATCGTTTTTTCAACCTAGGCCCGAGTAATTTTGAGGTTGCTATTAAGACTAGGTCCGTAAGCCTAACAAATTGGACCATCTAATTAAAAGAGGTGTTGGCTAACTAAGAAATTAAGTTTTAAATTAAAAAAATTGAAATTGATAAGAACATGCATGTAAGTTAAGCCTCGGTGAGATAATGAAAATCATAGCTTAATCAAGAAAAACTCGCTAAACAATGCGGACGCCCATCGAAATGACTCAATAAAAATCCAATATTCAAATAAAACTTAATTTACTAATTAAAGATATTAAATTAGTCCTATTTTTTCATGATTATTGTTCAAAGTTTTGATGATAAATTACTTTATAAAATAGGAAACTAGTGATCGACTAGTACCTATATTTAAATGATCCCCCTCGCGCTTATTATTATTATTGGGAATCTCTTTATTATTACCATACCAACAATATTTTTCTCTCTCTCACACACATACATGTGTGCATACAACGAAGGAATTAGCTCTGGACCTAGTTCTTGATTGGGACTAGGATCGATAGTGGATATAGTATGAAACGGGTGCTCGTTCTATCTAATTCAATAAATATTATTAAAAATACTTCATGAAAAAAATTAAGATATATATATATATATATATATATATATATATATATAATTGCTAATATGATTTTTAAATATAGATACCTACTTTAGACCCTATTAATACCCACTATTTTTTTTTTACAAAAAAAGAAATAATATGCGGAATCGATTGTACAAAATATTTATAAAATAGAAACTATAATGTTTTTTTATAAAAACTTTGAGGGTAAAAAACCTTATAAATAAATGAACAAATTGTAAAAAATAATAATAATAATAATTTTAAAGTTCAAAATAACTTTTTGAGAAGTACATGGACTAAAATGAATTTCTTTGATAAGTTATTTTTAGGGGATATATACTAATAAATATTAAATAAACAGATAAACCTGATATAAATTTAAATGATAATTTCTTAATAGAGGAGAATATTTTTCTAATGGATAAAATAAGAGATTGATTTTAAGGATCAGACACCCATCTTATTATTATTCCTACACAAGACCGAATTGGACGTGAAATAATTGCATAAATCATCTTTATACTTTAGAAAAGAAATAATATTTTAGTGAGTGAGTGTGATATATATATATAGAGAGAGAGAGGCATTCTCGTCTTTAGTTAACTTTCACATTAACTTTTGAATATCTTTTAAATTTAAGTGAAATAAAATTATTTTTATATTCGATAAAATTATTTTGTTATTTTTGTCCTAAGGATTGTACTCATTGGAGGGATGGATCGGCTTCTCACCTCCGACTCTTAGATCTGTTAGTCTAAGGATTGTACTCATTGGAGGGATGGATCGGCTTCTCACCTCCGACTCTTAGATCTGTTAGTCTGAAGGTTTTATTCTTCAGTTGATAGTTCTTCATTTTGAAAGATTTTTATTCAATTCGTTAAACACGATGATGATGTAAATGACTTCTAAAAGAACTACAGTGATGGGATCAGGTGATAACAACCACATGGCTAGAGCTAGCCATCTCAACAACAACATGTATAAATACATAAATATATTTGTTGTTTTTTTTGGTCAAATTCGATTACACAATGGTTGAAAATTAGAACCGTTATTCTGACTTTGCTTTTCTTAATGGAAGATGATTAGTGGTATTGAGAGTGACAACCCCACGGGTGATGGATTAGTTTCCCTTGCCGTAAAGCTTAGCTTAATCCTAAGACATCATGGATTGATGACATTTGTTGTTATTAAATGCCTCAAACATTAGTTTGATACCATGACCTTACCGATATTGCCAAACAAATAAGCCTCTTGGAGAGGATAGGGATTCCCTTCGTAGAAGGAGACTGCTAACAACTCTTGAAGAAAAACATCCTTTTCTTTTGACTTGCTAGTTTCCATCAATAATCATATATGGAATAAAATGCATAACGTCTTTTTTTTTAGGTGGCATTATGTGTTATTTTTTGGTAATTTCCTTTTTTTTATTTTTATAATTATCTAAAATATTAATAAAAAAAACATTAAGAAAATTTCATTAGAAGGAATCCAATGATATTTTCAAAGTTTTTCCTAATTTTGAAATAATTTATTCTAATTGAGAATACCAATTATTCTAAGTGCCTAATGCATATTTATTGAAGTCATTCTCAATTAAATGAACCTCTCTCTCTCTGCCAATTGGTGCTTGGCATAGTGATACACTTTTTTTTTTAATTCAAATTATATTCTTGCTGTCATTGAAAAGAGATTTAAAAAATGGCATTGTTAGATAATGTTAGTTTTTCATTTTTTTTTTCTTTTGTTTTTTGTAAGAAAGTTTATAGTATATACAGGCAAACTCCCAACACTTGGCCCCACTTAATTCATAAAAATTAGTCATATGTATCTTCTAATGTTTCTTAAATTAAGAAGCATTAGTTAAATATGTTTTTATATAATGAGATCACGTTATTTTGAAATGAACCAATTATTTTTTTGCATTTTATGTGAGTTTACAACCTGTCATTCAAGTAAAATTTTCTAATCAAACTACCAAAAAAAGTCACGTAACTTGCACGTCACTTTTTTTTTAAACTACAAAAAAAACAAAAAAAAATGTGATTGGAACATGCTGACACGAGAGGTATTTTTTTAAAAAAAAAGTAATATGATAGTCACATGACTTTTTTTTGTAGTTGGACCGAAAATTTACTAAAAAAAATAAATTAGAAATTCGCTTAAAATAAAAATACATAATAGACATATTTTAGAATATAAAAATATATTATATATTGACTCTATTGGATAAGTACAAACTAAGCTTTTATCCCCAACTTTAAAGCAGTTCACAAAACTGATCCTATTGAATATATAATAAATAGAAAAAAATCATGGGTTTTATAATACACCTAAAACTAGTAATAAATTGTATATAAATAGCTGGAAAAGGAAAATTAAAGAAAGCATTAATGATTTTTTTTTACAGTCTCTCCTTGAAAAAATACGGATAATTAAAGATCTTATTAGCTAAAGAGAGATACAAAAAGAAGCAAAAGCTATGTTGATCAAAATTGGAGAAGAGAGTTGAAAAGGAAAGGAGGAGTCAAAACCAAGTTTAAGCCTTTTTGTCGATGATGGTAAGTGTATAATGAAAGAATTAAGGGTTTATTTATATTTTTATTATTATTTTATATCTTAAATACAACATTTTACTTTTATGTTATAAAATGAATCATGATGGTATTTGTTAACATCTAATTTTTTTTACTCCAATTAATTTCTTAAGTCTTGACAAAAAAAAAATAGAGAGATATATATACAAAAAGAGAAAAAAAAAGGATAAATGAATAAAATTACGTATGGGGGTTCAATTAAAAAAATATGAAGTGTGGGGACTAGAAAAGGCCTAATTGAGGGTATGATTAACAAGATTAAAACCCGAAACTTTTAATTGAAATAATAAGAGGTACAATTAAAGACAATTCGAAGAAGAAGTCCCGATTAATTTCAATTAAAGGTGTTATTGAAATTCAAACAAGCAAAATGACACCAAAATTGACAAATACGGAGAAACCGAGATACTAAAATTGATGTTTACCCAAAACCCTAAATTTTTGCTTGTAAATACCCATCTTCTCCATTTCTTTTAGAGGCTGGCACTATTCATCATCCATTTAAAAACATAAAATTGCAGCCACCCTCTTCATTTTTTTACCGACCCTCCTCCTCCTCCATTTGACCAAACACTCATCCTTTACATAAGTGCACCGACCACCTCCTTCACTTGACCGAACACTCTTCCTCCACACAAGCATGCAACCACCTCCTCTATTTGATCGGACCAGCTCCTCCTCTATACAAGCCAAACCTTTTCCTCCACACAAGCAAGCCAAACTAGCCTCGTTCATTTTTGGCCAAAAATTTCTCCTTATCCATACAAGCATGCCAACCAGTCGACCCTCATCCATCATCTTCTCCAACAAACTAGTTACCATCTCCGACCAAGTCCATGAAAAGCTTTTGAGTTCTAACCTCTCCAAGCTCACCTAAGCTTCTCCGGCCTTCACCCAAGCCAACCTCACTTGAAACATTAACTCGAAACCCAATTGTTGTTGGTCGTCATTGACCACCACCACCATTGAAACCTCACTAGTAGCCTCACCTAAACTTTTAAATTGCCCAAGCACTAACAACCTTACCAGACCTCACCAAACCTCAATAGAAGCCTCATCTGAACATCCTAACGACCACTAGACTATGGCTGAAGCTCAAACACCTAGCATCTCTCTCTCCTAAAGCTCCAACCGTAGTCCCTTTATCTTGAGCTTCCATTATAATGAGCTCGTCCAATCACTCGATGCTTACGACAATTATTATCAACTTTAGCTTTATCCAAAAGCAATCGATGTAGAAACCTTGCTTTTCCACTAGCTCTTAGCCATAGACACCCCTCTATAACCACCATAGAAGCTTCCCTATGTTTTGCCACCATCTAACATACTACTATGGCTATGAGTCACCATCCAGTAGCTTCTCCTAACTCTAGTGTTGTCCATCGGCCTAGTGTCAATAGTCAAGCTCGAATTAGTGGACATTCGTTACTTTAGCGAGATCCATAAACTTTTTCTTGACAACAAGCGAGTTGCTCTTCTTATCTAGCTAATCGAACAATTAATTTTCATTAGAGATGAAAGGATTAGAATTGACCCTAAATAGAGCTTTTGGTATTTTTAGCATATTTTGACTTATTTTGGATAACATTTGAAAATGTGTACCCATTCGATAATATTGATGAAATTGTCATAAAGTACTTTATTTCGAAAAAGAAAATATGAAATTGCCTTGGTTGTGATTGTTAAAAAATTTAAAGTGTGATTAGATATACCGTTATGTATCAAATCCAAAATGGTCGAAAAACTCGAGTATTTTGAGGTGAAATAAGGTTAGTTATCAATGTTCTACTATGGAGATAGGAGGATTGGACTTGGGATTTAATTTTAATGGTGTATTCGGAATAAATGATGGTCTTAATGTTCATATTTAAATATGATATCTATGTTTGTATTGAATGATGTGATTGATCTAATATTTTGAGTGTGATGTGCTGAATACATAATATTCATGTCCAATGCATGTTTACTTGATTTTTTATGTGATTGAAACAAAATCGATGGTGGCTTACCACCTATGTGATCAAAACTATCGGTGGCTTTCAAATGAGTTTATTCAATTTCTATGCAATTAAAACGAACTTAATGGTAGCTTTCCACCTTTGTGATCAAAGTCATCGAGTGGCTTCCAAATCTAATTACTTGATTTCTATGCAATTGAAACAAAACTCGACGATGGTTTCTCACCTATTTGGTCGAAATTGCTAGTGGCTTCCAAATCCAATTACTTGATTTTTGTTTGATTGAAATAAAACTGATTGTGGCTTTTAATCATGTTTGTTATTTTCGATTATGGGTTAAAGTCCTACGGGACTCACCTTTTTCATTCAATTTGAATAATTTCTATTATGGGTTGGAGTCATAAGGGAATCATTATTTTTAGTTTGTTTAAATGATTTCTATTATTAGCTAAAGTCATAAGGAACTCATCATTTTTATTCTATTTGAATGATTTTTGGTAAGCGCTACTGATCTCATAAGACTCGTCATTTTCATTCTATTTGAATGATTTCGGTATAGGCTAGAGTCACAAGGAACTTGCCTTTTTCATTCGGTTTGAATGATTTTTGTTATGAGATAGAGCCACACAAAACTCAACATTTTTATTCTGTTTGAATAATTTCTATTATGGAGTGGAGTTATTAAGGGCTTGTCATTTTTGTTTGAGTGATTTCGTTATAGGTTGGAGTCACAAAGGACTCATCATTTTTATTTTATTTTAGTTGAATGATTTTCTATTTTTTATTATTATTGGTTGCTTCTTATTTGTGTGGATGAAGTCATTGATAACCTCATATCTCTTTACTAGTGTCAATCAAAATTATCAAGTGACTTCCTATTTATGTAAACAAAGTCACCGATAATTTTTTGATTATGTCAATATGGGCTCGTAATCTTAAAAGACTCGTTTTTTACCAATATGAGTTTTCAATCAATTAGGTTTTAGCTAAAATTTCATTCTTATTTATATTTTTCCTTAGAGTATGGGTATAGGCCTTTGATCGACCTAAACCCTAAATTACTTGATCAATTTACCTTAACAAAATACATTTATTCAAATAAGCATAGAAACATAACATAGCAAAACCGGACTTAGATTTTCACACACATACAATGCAACCTACCTCGGATAGGACGAGATGGTAATAATGTAAATCTTTTCCGTACATAAACAACCTCTTACCTAGATATCTATACGGACTAGTCTTATTTTAAGGTTTTCTAGTTCTCTTCGATAGTTAGCTAGTGACTCCTCTTACTCTAGAAGCTCTCGTCGACGGTATTATTTAACTTCTGCATTCATATTTGGTTATCAAAATGGACTTAACGTATTTTTTAAAAAAATGCACTTTTATGTGTGTGTGTGTGTGTGTGTGTGTGTGTGTGTTATAAAAGATGAATGGTAGGAGAAATGAGTGGATTGGAATATAATTGAGAATTAATGATGAAATTAGGGTTCAATTATGAAATTGATGATAAGGAATGACATTGAATATTAATTAATGATGAAACACAATTGAGTAAATAGATACAATTAATGAATGGGAAATTATCGTACCAAGTATCATAGGAAAGAAATTATGAAAGAATAAGAACTAATAAAATTAAATGTGATATGACGAATTGTAATTTCTTATGTTAAATGATGTGTATGTTTAAGGTATTAAATCAAGTCGAAGTACCAATTGTTAGAGAAAGGTTACAATGAGTAGTGGTTTTAAGCGAATCGAGTAAGTATAACTCATCTACATCATAAACATAAATTCTATGTGTTTAATTTGAATGATGTGTTGTGATGGTATTAAAGTGCATTCATATGCATACACAAGTTTTACATATTAAGTGTGATGAAATAATAATGAATGTGGAGCGTATGTAAATGAATTTTTATGACATAAAATGTTTTAAATGTATGTTGAGATTTTAATGTAAAAAGTAAAGGTTAACCGTTGAGATTACTTGTTGATGTTTGATGTTGAGGTCTTAAAAGTTGAGGTTGCCTATTGTGGCTTAAATATTGAGGTTTAAAGGTTGAGGCTTAATTGTTAAATGTTAAGATTAATGTAACTACATGTTTTTTATTGAGGTTAGACCTTACTAGCCTAGTGGCCATAGTAAGGCGACTTAACCACGGAGGAAAAGTCAAACTTAAAGGCTATGGTCACCAAGGTTGCATCTTCTTGCAAGGCCAAATAACAAAAAGAACTTTAAAAGACATTCATATAATAGAAGTTTTTAATATAAAATCATGCATGTAGCACTTATTAGGGTATTCATATCTCACAATCGTTCTGCAGTTTAGGTATAGATACAAATGTTAAGGACGTACTATAGAGCTTGTAATCTAGTAGTAGTGGTCTTTTACAACGGAAGGTCACGAGGTTCCAATCCTAGCAAACTAATTTTCATTGAGGTTAGACCTTACTAGCCTAGTGGCCATAGTGAGGCGACTTAACCACGGAGGAAAAGTCAAACTTAAAGGCTATGGTCACCAAGGTGGCATCTTCTTACGAGCCCAAATAACAAAAAGAACTTTAAAAGACATTTATATAATAGAAGTTTTAAATATAAAATCATGCATTTAGCACTTATTGGGATATTCATATCTCACAATCGTTCACGGTTTAGGTACATATACAAATGTTAAGGATGTACTATAGAGCTTGTAATCTAGTGGTAGTAGTCTCTTACAATAGAAGGTCACGGATTCCGAGTCCTAGCAAACTAATTTTGTTAGGAGTCTTAGGTGTATGAGTTAAAATAATAATAATAATAATAATAATAATAACAAATGTTAACGATGTTGATGTTGCTCTTGGTGACCAATGACTTATATGATTGCCTTTGAGTGTCCTTAAAAGAATGATGAATGTGTTATTTTTTGATGAATGAACTTGAGTTTATATATAATTGATTAAGGTTTATAAATTTTTTTATGAATATTTGGCGTAAGAATTTCAAATTTCTAAATGTTAAGAATTATTGTTTAGTAACCATGTATGAATAACGAGTTAAGGTTGTTTATGAATATTGAACGATGATGAAGGATATTTTTAGAATTTAAGATGAATTATGATAATGATAGTAAGATAGATTATGAATGAAATTTTAATAAATGCTTCTACTATGTTAATGAGATAATTATGTAGTTATATTATTGATGACAAGTTTTAATGGATATGTTTAATGATGAATGAGATTAAATTAGGAACAAGTTTTAAGGATAATGAAAGGATATAGGTTTTAGTAGTGATCCGTCCGATTGTGACCCTTCGAGTAAGGTGTCCCAAGTGGTAGACACTACAACATGGTATCAAAGCAAAATAAACTACGTGGACTTAATCAAGAAATAAAGTTATTGTTTCGTAGAAATAAATAAGGATCGAATGTTTGAGGTATGATGGCGGATATGAGTTCATGACCCGATAACAACATCAACAAGTAAGTGGTTTCTTGCTTTATATGCATTGTAGAATTGAGTTAAAGTATGTATATAATATGCATAATGATATTTGAGTCATTTACTAATTTAACTAATATGGCGATGATTATCCAATAGGATGTTAGAATTTGAACTAATAATAAATGATGATGAAATAGAATGCTAAGGTTGAACGGATGACTGATTGAATGATGATTGTTGTTGAGTTAGAACTAGATTTAGATTTAGTGAACTTAGTTCTAAAAGATATATATGTATGATTTATGAGGTTTGGAAAGAACGAGGAATTGGGTTCGAGATTTATTGGACCACTTGAGATTAGGTGACTTTTTAACCACCTAATGAACAACCTTTCAAATTCCGGGTTGATCGAATGATGCAACTGTAATTTGTGTTAACTTTCTAACTTCTAGATTTGTTACATATGCTTTGATGGATTTAGGAGTAACATACTTTTTCATATCAAGGTTTTTAGTAAGAAGATTATGTGTGAAATCTAAAATGTTAGAATCTGTTTTTGAAAATCAATTTTTTATTTTTTTCATGTTTTGAAATTTAAATTTTCATTTTTTTGTGGTTTAGAGGAAATTTTTGTGGACAAAGTTGAAAAATGATATATAAGAGAAAATATTATGAATATAAAAAGATATATGAGAATAAAATTTTTTAAAATAATATATGAAAGAACACCCAATATATAAGGATAGATGAAAACATTAACCCTATTATTTCTTCTTGCACTAAAATTAAAATTTGATGAGAAAATTACAATAAGAATCCACTGAATTGAGAATCATGAGAAGAAAATCCATAACTATATATAAAATCACTAACTTAATAAATTTTTTTGAATAACTATTATATCCTCAATAAAATAATAATATTATAATATATGTACCAATATTAACAAGTAAATTCAATCACATCACCAATTAATTAAGAAAACACCAACGATTGGTAAAATTCTTAAAAGGAAATTATCAATTCCTAAAAATTAGGCTATTTTTTAGAATTAATCCTAAAATATAAGTTAATCTTTTTTATTCATTATTTTTTATTTATACACAACCTAAAGCCATAGATAACATAAATAAGCTACTTAACTCACTTCTAAACAATATAGTACTATATTGATACTTTATGTGACCATCTAACCTCTAAAAAGGCTTTTAAAAGCCAATAAAAATATTAAAATTCAAAATAATTGCATGATATAAAAATTCATCAAAATATTAAATTAAATCTTTAGTTAATTTTTATAGGTTTTTTTTTAATTATCTTACATTATTTTTACTCGTTTTGAATTGATAATATGTAAATGAAAAGGTCAAGATTTAAGACAATAAATTATAAAATTTATAATCATGTCACATATAATTGAAAAAATATTAAAAACAAAAAAGGTTTAGAATAATATAATCTTAAGTGAAATTTTTTTATTAGATAGTATTTTTAATATATATCCAAACTATTAATTATTAATGCTTAAGTGATATTTCAATTGTGTCCCTAACTTTTGATTAAGTACAATTGTAAATTTTATCATATAGTTCAAAAAATAAAATAAGTGGATTTATATAAGATTATTTGAAAATCAAATGTGTTTATTTAATAAGCTTTCAAATTTATTCATCTATAAATACAATTTATTAGAAATTATAAAAAAAAAAATACACTATGAATTAGTTAAATATTAATACCCATACAGATCACATGCTAAGAAAATAGTATGGATAAAGATTGAGTCTAACTTAAAAGGGTTGCAATGGTTGGTCTTTCGTTCTCTCCAAACCCATCCTTGTTATTGAATTAAAAAAAGGAATAACATTTGAGAAACACTAAGGATTAAAAAAGTAGGGCAGGTGTAAGTAAAAATTTTTAAATTGGGAAAATATTCAAAACTTTTGGGAGTATACAATGTAGGTCCACGTGTGGCAGCAAGAAAGGTTCAAATATCCTATCCATAACAAGATCGGTACACTTACAAAAAAATTTATTTATTATAGTCTTTCTAAATTTAAAGTTTAGGTAAAAATATCTTAATTGGCTAGGATGATTAAAAAAAAAAAGAAAGAAAGACGCCCATAATTATATCTGTTTTGCATATTTGATATCTCGAAATTACTGCATGAAGAGTATACGAGGAGGCATAGTAATTGGTAACCCCTTAAGTTGTCCGAAAGGAAATTTTTTATGTCAATTCCATTTTTGTAGTCACAAACCGTGAACTATATTGCACTCCAATCCCGTATGAACATATGTACTAAATTCTAAAGCCATATGATCATATATATGTTTGTTTGTAGGCGTCTAATTGTTTTCTTGTGCCCACCAGTCATTTTCAATATCAAATTTTCCTTGTTCAAACTTGCACCAAAGTGGGGAGAACTTTCGTTTCTAGAAACAAATAAAAGAATCAACATGACAAGCATAATCTGTGTGTTTCTCTCTAATTTCTTAGAGCTAGTCTCAGTCAAACTGCGGCCGATTTCCATGAACGGGTCAACACGGGCGGCTTACCGGCCCTTAATGGCTTCCAAGCCTGTTCCTTCTGCCATACAAAACACACACCAAAAAGGAAGAAGTGGGAGCGAAGTTACTATTATTAATCAAATTTTAAAATAATGCTTTGTTTGACAAGACACCATTTTTAAATTATCAATTTCCCTATTAATATAATTGATTCCTTGAACCATATTGTATAGCATACTACATGTTAATTTCTTCTATTTAAAAAAAGAAAAAAGAAAAAAACAATATATATAAAACTATGGCAAGCGTTTCTTCCATGTTTGGTTTGGTCTACCTGCAGCCTGCAGGCCTTGTGCTTGAACAAGTTTAACATCTTTTGGATAACTTCAACCATTTTCTTATAATCTGTGTGTTTTCCTAAATGGGGTTGTAAGTAGGCTGAAGATATAAAGAAGAAAAAGAAGAAGAGAATAGCAAGACTGATAATGAAAGAAGACGAAACTGATAATTTATGGCGGGTTCTGTTATTCATGTTCTTAATCTTCTTGATTACAGGTACCTACTAATCCAAGATTCGCTTAAATCCTTTTCTTTTCTTTTCTTTTCTTGTTTAAATTCCTAGGATTAGATGATCATGATATTTATTTATGCTTGTATTGTTTGCTTTTGATTGATAGTATAAGCGTTCAGCATGGGCATGAGTACAATCACATTTCTCTAACATCATTAATTACTAATAATTTATTTGTTCATGTTTATTATTCTTTCATGTTCAAAAATCTTGTCTACCAGTCTTGAACATGCCCTGTACCTGTGCATATATATATATATATAGGCTATCTTCTAGATTTCAACATTAATGTGAGTGTTTGCAGTTTCCAAGAATGATACTTCAGAATCCTGTATTCAAGGAATTAAGATGCTGATGACTTGACTAGAATGTTTTGTTTCTGTTAATTAATTGCAGGTTCAGTAGTAGTGGCTGGAGATTCGCTTGACACGGATAGACAAGTCCTCCTTGACCTGAAATCATTCCTCGAAGAACGAAACCAAGTAAACAGAGGACTATACTCTCAGTGGAACCAGCAAAGCTCAAATCCCTGCAACTGGTCTGGAATCCTATGCACACAAGATGGTTCAAGAGTTTATGGTATTAACTTCACTGCCAGTAACGTCTCTGGAGATTTGTATAACAACTTCTCGTCCCTGACGGCACTCACTTACCTCGATCTTTCTCGAAACACTTTTAATGGTGCTCTTCCTAGTGACTTGAGCAACTGTCAGAATCTTGTTTATCTCAACCTTTCGCATAACATCCTTGAGGGTGAGCTCAACTTGACTGGCCTGACCAAATTGGAGATTCTTGATTTGTCTATGAATAGGATTTTTGGTGGACTTCAGTTCAGCTTTCCGGGAATTTGTAACAATTTAATTGTGGCAAATGTTTCAGCAAATAATTTCAGTGGTGGGATTGATAATATCTTTGATGGCTGCTTCAATTTGCAGTATCTTGATTTAAGCTCCAACTTTTTCAGTGGGGCAACATGGAAAGGTTTTTCGAGGCTTAAGGAGTTCTCTGTATCTGAGAATTATCTCAGTGGAGAAGTTTCAGGGTCATTCTTTGCTGAGAATAATTGTAGCCTGCAAGTTTTGGATCTATCAGGAAACAATTTCAGCGGCAAGGTACCAAGCGAGGTATCAAATTGCAGGAATTTGATTATTTTGAATCTGTGGGGAAACAATTTCACTGGACAAATTCCATCTGAGATAGGTTTGATTTCAAGTCTTAAAGGTTTGTTCTTGGGGAACAACACTTTTTCTCGGAGGATACCAGAGTCTCTTTTGAACTTGGGTAACTTGGCCTTTTTGGATTTGAGCAGAAATAATTTTGGGGGTGAAATACAGAAGATATTTGGGAGATTCACACAGCTGAAGTTTCTAGTGTTGCATGGGAATTCATACAGCAGCGGCATATATTCTTCAGGCATTCTCAAACTAACTAAGCTTGTTCGATTAGACCTGAGCAACAACAACTTCACAGGTCCGTTACCTGTTGAAATCTCTGAAATGCACAGCTTGAAGTTCTTGATCCTAGCGTATAATCAATTTAATAGCACTATACCAGAAGAATATGGAAATTTTCGAGGCTTGCAAGCTCTTGATCTCTCCTTCAACCACCTAATTGGCCAAATACCTTCTTCTCTTGGAAAGTTGAGGTCACTGTTGTGGTTAATGCTTGCGAACAATAAGCTGACAGATGAAATTCCTGCTGAATTGGGAAACTGCACTAGTTTGTTGTGGTTGAACCTTGCCAACAACCAGCTCTCTGGGAGCATTCCACATGAATTGATGAATGTAGGAAGGGACCCCACACAAACATTTGAATCAAACCAGCAGGAAGAAGACTTCATAGCTGGCTCAGGTGAGTGCTTGACAATGAGGAGGTGGATTCCTGCAGATTATCCACCGTTCAGTTTTGTATATACAATACTAAATCGGAAGACTTGCAGAAGCATATGGGAGAGGTTGCTTAAAGGGGTTGGCCTTTTCCCAGTATGCGCTGCAGGATCTACTGTCCGTACATTTCAAATCTCAGGTTATCTTCAATTGAGCGGCAACCAGCTTTCTGGAGAGGTCCCAGGAGACATTGGTAAGATGCAGCATTTCAGTATGTTGCATTTTGGTTTCAATAACTTGAGCGCTACGCTCCCTCCACAGATTGGGCAATTGCCACTGGTAGTCCTAAACCTCACCAAAAACATCTTCTCTGGTGAAATTCCAAGTGAAATCGGGAACACCAAATGCATACAAAATCTTGATTTATCTTACAACAACTTCTCTGGCACGTTTCCTTCAAGCTTGAACAACTTGAGTGAGCTGAGCAAGTTCAACGTCTCATACAATCCTTTTATATCTGGTACAGTCCCTACAACTGGGCAGTTGGCAACATTTGAGAAGGAATCCTACCTTGGCGATCCACTACTGAAACTTCCCAGTTTTATCAACAATTACAAGGGTTCCCCGCCCAATGAAAACTCAAAAATCGACAAGAAAGAGCATAAAAAGTGGGTTGCAGTTTTGGTGCTGTTAACGGTGACCATGGCTTTCTTAATCTGCGGACTTGTTTCACTTTTAGTTTGCATGCTAGTGAAAAGTCCACCAGAGTCACCAGGATACCTCTTAGAAGATTCCAAATACCTCCGGCATGACTTTGCATCAAGTTCAGGGAGTTCATCTCCATGGTTGTCAGATACAGTTAAGATCATACGTTTAGACAGAACAGCATTCACTCACGCTGACATTTTGAAGGCAACAGGCCACTTTTCAGAGAGCAGAATCATTGGGAAGGGAGGATTTGGAACAGTGTACAGAGGAGTATTGCCTGATGGAAGAGAGGTGGCGGTTAAGAAGCTACAGAGAGAAGGGATTGAAGGTGAAAAGGAGTTTCGAGCCGAAATGGAAGTTTTAACTGGAAATGGCTTCGGCTGGCCTCACCCAAACCTCGTAACACTTTATGGGTGGTGCCTTCATGGCACAGAGAAAATATTGGTGTATGAGTACATGGAGGGTGGAAGCTTGGAGGATCTTATATCAGATAGGATGAGGCTAACATGGAGAAGGCGCATCGACATAGCAATTAATGTGGCACGAGCACTAGTATTTCTTCACCACGAGTGCTACCCTGCAATTGTGCACCGCGATGTCAAGGCCAGCAATGTCCTGCTAGATAAAGATGACAAGGCACGAGTCACAGATTTCGGCCTTGCTAGATTTGTTGATGTTGGGGATAGCCATGTGAGTACAATGGTGGCTGGAACTATTGGGTATGTTGCGCCAGAATATGGACAAACTTTCCATGCGACCACCAAAGGCGATGTGTACAGTTTTGGGGTACTGACAATGGAACTGGCAACGGGGAGGCGAGCTGTGGATGGAGGGGAAGAATGTCTATTGGAATGGGCTAGAAGGGTGATGGGAAGCGAGAGACATGGATTTAGTGGAGCTATGATACCAGTGGTGCTTCTGGGATCTGGTTTGGCGGAGGGAGCAGAGGAGATGCGTGAACTGCTAAGGATTGGGATAAGATGCAGTGCAGAGACACCGCAGCGTAGGCCAAACATGAAAGAGGTGCTAGCTATGCTAATAAAATTATCATGCAGGGATTTCATTCCTCCCTCACGCTGATTTTCAAGATGGGATGATCATGAGTGCTTAGTTGCAGACAACTCTAGCTAGGCTGCTCTTACAACATTATTACACACACACAAAATATACTACAGTACAGATTCTGATTCTTCATGTACACCACAACATTCTTCATTTTGTTAGCTAGAGTTGGGGAATTAATTAATTAATTAATTAATTTACTCTTTCAAATCAACAATATGAGAAAAATGCTTTTACTTTCAAATTCGTTTCGGATATTTTTCAAGTTTAGAATGGTTAAAGGGGTTCATATATTGTAAAACAAAACGAAAGTCCAAACAATGTAAATTTTATTTTTCGATGTTTTGCAAGGAATTTCTTTCATAAGCTAATTATAACTATGCCTTAAAATAATACTAAATCAAGGATGTTGTAGCCCAACTTGGAATGTGGTGGTGAATACTGTTAATGTCATGCAAGTAGGGACGATAGAGGTTTGCGGTTGCGGCATCTAAAAGAAGAATGCACAATTATGAAATTGCAAACCTAACGGATGACTTGTCGTCTGTGTCGAAGGATAAGGAAATGCAGTTTAGTCTCTGAAGTTGACTGACTTGTTGTCTGGACAGAATAATAAGGACCTGACCGGAGTAAAGAAGGAAGAACAAAAGTGTGAGCTCATCAGCTCTCTCTCTATCTATCATCTGCATTACAGTTTGCCTCTCTTTTTGAGTTTTCCTTGATTAATTTTTACCCATAATAAACAAAATCAAAATTAGAGAAAATGGGGGATTTGAGAATGATGTCAGTGGAGCTTGCTATCCATCCAAAGAGAGTTGGCATAAGGGGCAAAACTTGCCCAAGTTACAACATGATGATGCCACCTTTTTCAAAGACCTCATAGCATTGGATTCGAATTTGGAGGCTAAGTATATATGTTATTATTACTGATGATAAATAATCATGATCATTCCTTGTTATTTATTTGCTGAATTCACTCTTCAATTAACAATACACACAACTTGTTCCTGTTCTGATCATTTTTTGCTCTTATAATATACCCCTACTAACATTTGGATGCTAGTGGGAGTTTTTGGCTCAGCCAAGGGAAGCCCGAAAAACCACTCTCATGTTAGAAAGAAATGATTTTGAAGAATAATTTTTATTCAAGATGGAATACCTAAACATGAGACATAACATACATCAGATACTTAGGCGTGCAGCCTTTAAATAGGCTATTTACATGATAAACTCGTAGCCACTTCCTGCAAATTCTAACCGATAGAGTTTCAAAACATTGACACCGATTCTTTGACTTCTATAGAATCTCAACTAGTAGATAAAAGTGGACCAAATTAGTAACAGCAAACACAAAATTTCAGCAACAATATCTACCTCTGTTGTTTGAGATGGAGATTGGATTTGGACAGCTTCCACCACCTAAGCTCAGATATAACTAACTCTGTTGAAATTAATACAATCTTGTCTCACAAATACACAACCTGATTTTCTGTTATATGAGATGGGGATTTCTGGCGAGTTTTTTTTTTAAAAAAAACAAGGTAGTTCTAAGTCTTATTTACAAAAATAAGGTTGTTTTAATCTTATTTATAAAAATAAGGTTGTTTTTGACATGTAGATTAAATTACCTACACGTGTCATTTTTTTTTTTTTTAATGATAATAATGAGTAGAAAAAAAAATAATAAAAATATCACACATGTTTCTTTTAATACAATATAATTTAATTAAGATCCATATATCCACTAACTTGGTTACGGATTATGCTTTTGTTAATTTGGTTGCGTGAGAATTTAATTAAATCACAGTGAAAATGAAGGCTTTATTTGATGGATAGCAAAGTGGGTGAAGATGACCCAATTTCTGCAAAAAGATCCATATATCCTGACTTGGGTATGAATTATGCTCTCGATACTGCAAAAAGACAGAAGATTACTGCATTGTCTGCACCAAGCCACCAGCATCAATTGTTCTTTTCTCTCGAGTGGTGTATGATTCAAATCTCTCATCGCTTCACTAGAATGCCAACAATTCTTGTAACCAAGAGATTTCCTGTATTTGGAACGACTTCCTTGTCAGAGTCGGACTTAAAGGAAAATAGTCCCAACTGATCCTCAATAACATACCTATAGCCACACTGCCATGGTAATTCCAAACCCATCGAAACAAGCTAAGCTCTCTATAGCAACAACAATACAAACCCCAAACCCCTCATGCCTGAGTTTTGCCATTTCATCTCCTCCCCAATCTCCCAAAAGAAAAGATCAACACGTTCTCCAAAATTAACAAATAGCAAAAGTCTTTGCACATATCAGTTGCCATAAGCTCCATTTCCTTAATGATCTTATTATTAAGCCATTTTAATTTTTATAGAGAAATTGCTATGGAGTTATTGGTTCTTGAAGATATATTTATTTTGGCTTTACTAGAGCAATTGTTTTTAGATCTTGTTGATGAGCTGGTGGGGTTGGGTTTACTAGTATTTGATTTTATCCGATAATCATAATAAAATGAATGTATTGTAAATGATATTTATTTTTAAAATTTTATAAAATTATTAGTGAATTTAGCATTAAAAAAAAGCTGACACATGTAGGCTATTTGATATACATGGCAAAAACTACCTTGTTTTGATAAATAAGATTAAAACAACCTTATTTTTTAATTAAGATTTAAAATTATCCTCGTTTAAAAAAAAAAACTCGATTTTTTGCAATCGGTTATTGGTTCTTGAAGGTTTATTTATTTTGGCTTTACTAGAGCAATTGTTTTTAGATCTTGTTGATGAGATGGTGGGGTTGGGTTTACTAGTATTTGATTTTATCCGATAATCATAATAAAATGAATGTATTATAAATGATATTTATTTTTAAAATTTTATAAAATTATTAGTGAATTTAGCATTAAAAAAGCTGACACGTGTAGGTTATTTGATCTACATGGCAAAAACTACCTTGTTTTGATAAATAAGATTAAAACAATCTTATTTTATAATTAAGATTTAAAATTATCCCGTTTAAAAAAAAAACTCAATTTTTGGCAATCGATCCGGAGAAGATGATGTGCTTGTATAAAAAAGATAAAATGTTATGGTCTGCTAGCGGACTTGTCACGATGTGCTTTCTGTTGGATGTTTGAGAGACAACATATTTGTTTTTCAAGATCTATAACACCGAAATTTGGATGTCTTCATGATATCATAAAGGAGCACTATGCTAGGATGAATGATTTTTACATATTTTCTACCTTTAGAATACATTTGTATCGGGGAAACAGAGCAAATTTATTAACACTTTTTTGACATATTTGAATTTTTTTGATTTACGAAAATGAAATTGATTTAACACCGACTTTGGAACCAAAATTACAATTTGATTTTATTTTCATATGTTTTATATTTATTCTTTTTTGTTCTATGGCTTTTAGTCGAAAATAGTGCTTAGTTTCTCCGATGGCTACTTAATTTATCCTTGTACCAAAACGTTACTCTTATCGGCGCCAGTCTTCAATTAGAAGTCCCGATCCATGCCCTCCTCTTTTTCAAATAACATTAGAAGCACTAGCAAATTGTTAATGATGTTTTTGTAGGCCATCATTATAGCAGAAGAAAGGGACAACGAGAAGAGGATTCAAAGGAATAGATCGACGACAATTCGGTTCCTCATTTAGTGGCATCATTATCGTCCTTTTTAGAGATATTCCTCTTTTATTGTTTCCTTGTTTAGCTTATTAGCATTATCGGTTATTGTGTTTCATATTCCTAACGTGACTATCTAAAATAATTATACCTAGACTTGTACTATTTAAAGGATATGTTTAAGTAAGAAAAGGAAGCTAGATTTCTTTATAGTTGATTCAAAGATTGGTGCTCTCTCTTAACAAGCCCACCTTTAGTAATCAAAGGATGCAAGCATAGAGCTGGTGCCACTAGGGGGATTCAAGTTCCCAAGATTGATCATCGACCCTAACTAGATCCCTCACCTAAGGCTACAAAATATTGGTATCGAGCCAACGATCATGGGTGATTCACTTCGACCAAGTCCCACGTTAGAGGAGCGAGTTGCGAGTGCTTGCAGCAATATGCACGGGATAAGGAATGATTGGAACAATGGCTAGACCATGTCCAAGCATGATAAGGCAGACAACCTTAAAAGAAATCCGAGTCACATAATGTTGACGAGTGGCAAGTATGTGGATCAATCCAAAGGTGCTAGTAGAGAATGGAAAATGGGGGCAAGGAATAGTGGAGGTCCTCAACGAAGCGAAGGATGCTCCGAGCGGACCCATGTGCCTCGATACACGAAGTTGGATTTTCCAACTTATAGTAGGATCGAAGATTCTCTTAGATGGCTTAACTACTATGAGCATTTCTTTCACAACCAATGAATACCCGAAATGGACAAGGTGGGACTAGCGACCTTTCATCCGATAGGGATTGCCCAACTATGGTACTACAAAATTGAACAAGAGAAAACCGACCCTCTCTTAGTATGAGTTTTCTCGCTATTGTCATCTTAGATTTGGTCCCCTTTTATGTAATAATACATTAGGAAAATGATTAAACTCTAATATAATGGTTCTTTGAAGGATTATATGACTAAGTTTGAAGCTTTATTGGCTCGAGCTACCTTAGTTCATGTCGATCGGCAAGTCGACATATTTATATTAAGTTTAGCGAGAATCATTGCATGTGGATGTGAAGTCATAGAATCTACCAAACCTTATCACTACCATGAGCCTTGCAAGGGCCTTTGAGAAGCACATACAAGTTACTCGGTTTGCGAGAGCTTAATACACGAACGGTAGTTTCGATAAGGATAACAAAATGGGGAATAAAATCAAGGACAACAACTATGGGTTTAATCGACCTTCATTAAAAAATTGAGCTACACCAAAATGGCGGACAAAAAGGCACGCAGATTATATTTTAATTATGATGAGCCCTACACATATAGTCGCAAGTGTAAGAAATTATTTTGGCTAAAGATGGAGAATGTGGAAGAGGATTTAGAGATGCAAGAGTGTAGTGAACCTAAAATATCTCTACATGTAATTACTAGTGCTAGAAATGCATAGACAATATAGCTCCGAGCTAGTATCATGGGTCACTCCACCTTGGTATTGGTAGACGCAAGGAGTGCATATAACTTTATTCATGAGAAGGCAATCCGGAGGTTCAATCTTGTTGTTAAACCACGATTAGGATCTGTAAGCATTAGCGGAAAATGGTGAACAACTCTTGTGTCTAGGTGTTTGTGAGGTAGTAATCGTAAAGGTACAAAATAAATCTTTTACCACTAATCTTTATACAATAAACTTCGGTGGTTTCAAAGTGATTTTAGAAGTCAAGTGGGTATAAACTTTAGGCTTAATAGTGTGAAACTTTACTACACCCATCATGTCTTTTAGGTTAAATGGATGAAAAGTGCAATGAAATGGAGAGACACCTACCAAGACAATCAAAGTTCACTCCCTACAAGAGGTTCAACCTTTTAGAGCATTGGTGGACCGAATGCTAGTAGACTACCATGACCTCTTCTATGTACCCATGGGCCTTCTACCCCAATGTTCTCAAGATCACGGGAATCCCCTACTCGCCCGGGATGGCTTTAATGGTGGTGAGATCATACCGACATTCGTTCTTAAAAAAAGATGAGATTGAGAGGTAATGTTCGGAGATGCCAAAACAAAGAATTATATGATAGAGTCAATTATATATATATATATATAATTTAAAGATCACAAGAATTTATCATATAAATTATATTAATATATTTTTTAAAAAATAAATTAAGAAATTAATTGGATATTTCTTTTTAAAAAATTAGAAATGACAATCGAAACAAATATATTTTTTAATCAACGAAGTCGCTTGGAAAAAAAAAGGATAAATTTTTTCATAGATTTAACACAAAATCAATAATAAAAAATTTATGGAAAAAATAAAAAAGAAAAAAAATCAAGCTAGTTAGTAATATTTCAATGAAAATAATAAAAAAGAGGACAGACTCATTTGCCGCAACTTCTAGAAAGTTAGTAAAAAAAAAAAGAGTTTTTCCGACATCAAAACCCAATTTGTACATCAGTTTTACTTCAAAACTCTTAAATAAAGCCAATAAACATTTTTTAAGCCTTAAAATTGATTATAATGCACATATAAAAACAAATTAAATTTAAAAACTCATAATATTTCGAGATCTTGATCCATTTCTTTCAATCATTTTATATCTTAAAATCACAAAAAACAAAATTAATTCTTTAAAATAAACAAATTGAATGTAATATCATTATAAAAGTGACAAGAATAAGTTTGACCGGTGCTCTCTCTCCCTCCTCCTTGTCCCTCTTTGTTCCTCTCTAATTTTTTAACTTATAAGCCAAAATATGTCACAAATGAAATTTTGAATCAAAATAACATTATTGAAATATCAAGGATGAAGATGTAAAATTTTGTATATAATTGCCTGAAAGCGTTAACATTACAAAAAAAATCGAGTGTTGAGTTCATAGGTCCAATCTGTCAACATTAAACCCTTCAAATGTTTTAGTTTTTTTTTTTTTTTAATGCACCGTGCACTTGAATTATTTGAAAATTTAAGTAGGAAATAATGGTATTAACGAAAAATGATGGAGGAATTAAGTTGTTAACAGATTTAAGAACAAAGGACTAATTAATTACTTTTTCAAACTATAGTAACTATTTAATTCGTTTTGTTAAACTTATAGCTAAATTATAATTCATTCTAATATAATTATGGGGGAAACAGAAAAATAGAGTCAACAACGCGGTTGGCCAGAGGCAGGAGAGAAAAAGAGGAGAAGGTGGGGCCCTGTGGGTGATCTCATCTAAGATTGTGGTTTCCTACACCCTGCTAGCTGCTGCTCTTCCTTTCTTCTCTTCTGCAATCATTTTATTTGAATTGGCATAACCATAAGTATAGAAACAGGATTAATTTATTTAGTTTTAGGAAGGGGAATAGCATAAGCTGATCATCATTGACGATTACGAAGATGGGTTGCTGTGCAAGCCGAAACGCGGATTCTAAAGCTGCCAGGGTTGCCCGCTGGCGATCTACCGGAATTGTTGCTTTTCGTGACGCTAAATTGAAGGCAATCATATTTATATCTCTCTTTCTTTGTTTTTTGTTTTTTTTCCTAGAAAAAGTTTATATTGGTATTTGGTGTTTTCTTCTTGTTTTTGAACGTTAAAGAAATAGATAAAAAGGGATATTTTGTTTGGTTAAAAAATTAAGACCAAAGAAGCGAAAGGAATAATCAGTTGTTTGTTTGCAGAATGAAATGAATGGCTGTTTGTGTTTTGATGGTATTATTATTATTACGGCTAATTTGCTGAATACGATGGTTTAAGCTGATTTCTACTTGGTTGGTTGCCTATTACTTTACTTAAATTAGTGTAAAAGCATTTGATAGAAATGATGATGATTGATTTAATTTTTTTTCCTTATACCAAGCAAATATCAACATATATATATATATATATATAAGTAAACATGGATACCATAGGCATATGACTAATCCAATACTTTCACTTGCGAATTTCGTACTCTATCTTTCCTTTTTATGATTCATACTTTTAGTATTTATTTCTGTTCTGTAAGTAAATAGTTTAGAAATTGCTAACTTTTTTTTTTTTTTTTCTGGCAAAAGGTGAGTACTGACAGTTTGGATGTAGGCAGTACAAGTGCAGTTTTTCATTTGCCTTTTCATTCACTGCTTTTGTTCAAACTCACATTCACACTCATATTGATTCTTTACTTGTCTATTTTTTTCACCAACAGACTTTTCCTGATGATGTTCTTGATCTAGACAAAGCCGTGCGCACCCTTGATTTAACACACAATAAATTGGGTAATAGTTTATTTTATTTTATTTTTGTTTACCTTTGCTTTACTTTTCTCAAATCATTTCCCGTCACACAATATGGATTTGTAGTGGCAAAAAAAAAAAAAAAAATGCAGTTTTGCCTCACATGTATTATTGTAGATTTGATCGCCGTGTTTTCACTACAGTTGACATTCCTATGGAGATTAGCAAATTAATAAACCTGCAACGCCTGGTAAGAATTATAAAACTTAGCTGCAACTGCCTTTAATTTCTTTGAGAGCTTGTATTGTAAATACAAACTTGCATAAAAGCCCTTGAATGCTTCATTAAAGCTTTAATTTTTCTGCTTTTTTTTCCCCCTCAAAATTGAAATTTATGGGATGTGGCAGTCTCCTTTTTCACCTTTCCCCTCCTGTTGGGTCTGTGACTTTTCCCATTTTAAATGGGAATGTGTACTGCTTACCACTAAGGCCAATGGTTTTTGGTTTCCAATTTTTGGTGGGCCACCAAAGTCTACAAGGCCATAACCATGAAGAAGGTATTGTTTCATTTATTTATTTTTGATACAGCCAGCGAGTTTACTCATGGATTGATGCTTGTAGTGCCATCAGCAGCTGTGTTTCATATTCTGAACCGATGATTATTTTTCTAGTAATTATGTCATTCATAGTGATAATGTCATGAGTATATGAAAGTACTAGTTAGCATGTTAGTTAATGTTATGGAATGTCTGGATTACCCCATCAAAGTAGTTTGTTCTTTTCAGGTTTTAGCTGATAATCTTATTGAGCGATTGCCAATGAATTTGGGGAAACTGCAGTCTCTAAAAGTTATGACGCTTGATGGCAATCGAATTGCTTCCTTACCTGATGAATGTAATGTTCTTCTCTAAATAAGTAAGATGATTTATTATTCTTTTTTTAATCTATTCCCTTTGCCTTTGTGGTTGTATCTGATGATCTTCATGATCTTCATGGTTTATCTGCACACTTCCTACTGTCCTTGTTTCTTGCATAAAACCTAACTTGATGAATATTTCCTGTCTAGTGGGCCAGCTGGTGAGGCTTGAGAGGCTGTCCATTTCAGGAAACTTTTTAACATGCTTGCCTGAGACGATTGGGAGCTTGCGCAATGTAAGTGACTCTATTTGGTTGTCGAAATTGAATTTAGCTATGGAATGTTTTGAGATTGCATTACATTTACTAAGTATGAGAAAAAGGCAATTTTAATAGAGAAGGTCTATGCCCGATAGATTTTCAAGAGAACTAACAACCTAAGCTTTTCTAAAAATAAATAAAATAGAATCCTTGACTAAAATTAGAGTATGCAAATAGTTAAGAGAGGTGAAGTCTGCCTTGCGATTGGTTAGAAATGGATCAAAATGCTTTCCCAAAAGTATTACTTCTTTTGAATTTGGCATTTCTGATTTTTCAGCATGATATATTAACTTCCATGACAAAATAGAATGTTTGATAATGCAGTTATCACTTTTAAATGTGTCAAATAACAAGTTAAAGACTCTTCCAGAATCAATTGGGAGTTGTTTCTCTCTAGAAGAATTACAAGCAAATGGTATGCTAATATCTGTGTTTTACTTTTTAATCTTTTTCCCTATTGATATTTATGCACGAGAAAAGTCCTGCAATTGAATATAATGTGAAAGCATTCCATAATCTTTTTTGGTTTTTGGTGAGAGTTCACATTACGTGTTCTTTGTTCATAGCTATACTACTTATGAAACTCTTCAACTTTCCTATTTGAAGAGTATTGCTGGTACCTATTTGGCTGCTGGTTGTCACTAAAATGAAAGTGGTGCAGGACAGCTTGGGGTGCTGTTCTGGATCTGAGTTTCAAGGCTGTGTAGGGCTGCTTAGGTCTGTATTAATGTGGATTTCTGCTGGGAATAATAGAACTATTACTGTCAAAATAATAGGGTTTCTAGGAGTCACACCTAAAGGATAGAAAAACCTAAGCCTAATACCTAGGGTTCTTAGGAGTCACACCTAAGGGAGATTGTGTCACACAATCCAAAGCAAATTGTTGGAAATTATTTGATATTATTGCATACTGGATATTAAAAGACTACATATTGTATTTATAGAGTTGTAGAAGTCCAAATAATACTAGGACACAGATTCCTAAACCTGTGTGTAAATTTGATTTCTAAACACAGTGAATCGTCTGATTCTACTGTACTAGGATTTTTGTTCATCACTCTTATTTTGTTTCCTTTTTTTCATTCACAATAATTGTGAAAGATTTCTCAAAAGTTAACAACTGGTAAATGGAGTTTAGAAATCAAATTGATTTAGACTTAAAGCTAAGTGGATAAACTCCTTCTTGGCTCTCCAAATAATTCAGAAAAAAAGTTGAGGTGTCCAGTGGTCGGAATAAATCTATGTTTTATGTTCATACCCAGAAAATGATCTGAATTTCTGTAGCAGATAAATGCTTCTAAAACTGTAGCACCTGATATTATATGGTATGAAGAATAGCATCTTGATAATTTTTTGAGCACTTTCTTGGATGACATAATAGTTGAATTGTACAGATTAAGTTATTGATAGTGTTTGTATTAACAATAGGCTTATTATATACACAACTTTATGCACCAACAGGTTTTGTCAAGATACATAAAATCGTTGCTTGCTTCTGGAATTTATTTTGAATGCAAATTATATCTTGAACTTGTATGGTTGTTTGGAGTGTCATTTTGGATTAGTTGGATGTTTTTTCATATATTATGCATGTTGTCTTGCATATGGATTTTATTTTTTGTTCACGAATCTTATTTTGAACCACTTGTACTGTTATATGGAGTGTTAATTTTTGGGCGTAAGTTGGATGAGATCTTTGTATATTTTGCATGTTTTCTTGCAAATAGATTTGTTTTGTCTGCCTTTCCGAAAATAATCTGAGTAGGTTGCTCTGTTTTTTTTTTTTTTTTTTTTTTTTTTTTTTTTTTTTTTTCGCTTCTAGATATCAATAATCCTATTATTACTGCTCAGATTTCTCACAGCTATTATATTGGCCAATTTTGCAGATAATCTTATTGAAGATCTTCCTGCATCTGTTTGCAATCTAATTCACTTGAAGTCACTTTCCTTGAACAATAATAGTGTGGGCCAGGTAATACGTAGTTCAAATCCTGTCTTACTTCTCTGAAACTGTACATAGTGGTAGATGTGATAATTTGATATTGTCAGCCTCTGCCAGTCATTTTGACCAACTTCCTGAATGCTTTCCACTTTGGTATAATAGGGGTCATTTTGGGTGTACTGATTCTATTTTACAATGTCTTTTCAGTAATAGAAATGCCAACTAGTATTGATGGTGTTGCTAACTGGGTATCAATTCATAATTCTGGATAGTTTGCTGATTATATATTTTCAATGTCCATGTCATTTCATTGTGTTTTTAATTGCTTCCAGTTTCTTCTATATTTATTTCCCTGTCGATTGAAAGCAAATGGCTCTTTTGTTGATATTCCTTCTTCTTGAACCCTTAACCTCTCCATTTCCAGAACTTTTTTAACCTTGATAATGTTTTCATCCCTTTTTCTTCTAATCTTAGAAGCAATTTCAATGACCCCTGATTTATAATTTATGAAACTTGAGAAAGTTGTCACACAAACCTTTAGGATGTGGGAAACAATACTTGTTTGGTGGCTGTATATCAAATTGGATTAACATTTTCTAGCTTAATTATTTATTTATCTAGATTTGTTAGGTTGAATATGATGTAGGACAAATTAAATTGATGTAGAAGCACTAAACTAGATCACCAAAAGAGAGCTAATTTAGAAGAGATACCAAAATTCACTAACAAGAGACACTCAATCTTGAAGGGACCAAACCAAGATAGACTCAACATTGGGGAATTGACTCAAGGGAGACGCACTAAATCTTGGAGAATATTCAAAGTCTTTATTAAGGCCTATGTACTTATTTATATGCACCATACCAAACAAAATAGGAAAATCTAATAAGTCTTAATTCAATAAGGAAACAAAAATCCTAATTTAATTAATAATTAATTGTTGGAAAGTCAAAAGAAAATCCTAGATTTTAGGGATTTAGCTCGTCAACATTATATTTCAATTTTTATTCCTTTTATCAATGATTTCCTAGGATTGTGTTATCGATTTTTGTTAACAAGAAATTTTATAATACTTGAGTAATCGATGGCATGTACAATAGTTACTTTATGGACCTATTTGGAGGAAAGAGATAGACGCATGAAAAAAAAAAAAAAAAAGAGAGAGAGAGAAACAGGAGTGAGAAAATAAAATAAAAAAATTAAATGAACGTGGAAATTTTCTTATCACTCTTGGTGAGTCCGGATGTAATTTTATGTGTCTATCTCTCTCCTCCAAGTAGATTCATGGAGTAACTACTATACATGCCACTAGTTACTCCTTGAGTATTATAAAATTTTCCTTTGTTAACATAAACCCTAAAGTAACCATCAGCACCGATCAATTTTTCCCATCGATACTACCCGACTTTTCCTGCTCTTACTTTCGAACCTACTACTGAGCTTGACTGTATCTTCTCCTTCAGAGCTGATGGCTGATTCAGTTCAGGCTTCTTCTACTGCAACTCCTCTACCATTCAGACCTTCCCTAACTCACAAGTTCCAAACTCCAAATTCCTTCCCAAACTTTGAAATCACCCACTCAATACAAATAACCCAGCATATATTAAATGAGTCTAATTTTCGTGAATGGTTTCGGTTCGTTTTGCTCGTGATTGGATGAAAAGGGAATACCCAATATATCACTGGTGAGATTTCTCTTGGAGAAAGGACTAATGCCAATTACAAGACATGAGAGGCCAAGAATTCCATTGTGATGTCATGGTTGATCAACTCCATGGATCCAAAAATGGTACAGACACGCTTGTTCTACAAAACTGCTCAGGAAATCTAGAAAGTTGTTTAGGACATGTATTTGGAATTTGAAAAACATCTCAATGCTTCGAAATTCGATCTATGATTCGCAACACTTGGCAAGGGACAAGGTCGGTAATTGAGTACAACAACATTTTAAATGAATTATGGCAGGAAATGGATCTTTTTCTGTAGTGACTTGGCATTGCCTTGATGATGGATTGCTCTACGACAAGATGCTAAAAAAGGACTGGGTGTTTGATTTTCTCCAAGGATTGAAGAAGGAATTGGATGATGTTAGGGGGAGGATACTTGGTACCAAGCCTCTTCATCCATTCAAGAACCATTTGCTGAAGTCAGACATGAAGAGAGTTATGCTTCACAATTTCTCAAATTCAAATGCTGAAGACACTCAGCAAAGTTCTACTTTGGCAGCAAATCGTGTTAATTCAAATAACAACTGCAATCAGAGATCCATAGACAACAAGTTATGGTGTGATTGCTACAATAAGCCCTACCACACCAAGGAAACATGCTGTGAAGATCTCACTTTTCTTCTTGAAGGATAGATGGTATCAATAAGACTCACATTGTCACAGTACATTCATAACATACCCATATCTGGGAATCAAATATCTATCTTACATCAATTGTCATAAACACGAATGCTATGAAGCCCAGGTAAAGCCGAAATTGCATGCCTCACATATTAATTGAATAAAAGCTAGCTCCTCAAATATAAATATATTCTCCAAATAACCATGGTCAGAAAATATTTCATGTAAGACTCTACGTTGATACGATAAAGTATATGCAAGAATCTAACCAACAAGACTAAACTTGGCTCACTTCTCTGTTCCTAAAGAACTCTACTTCTCTAATCACAATTTATATTGTTAATCAAACATTCTATAGTCAAATTTTGTACCATATAATTGTGGCTTATGATAGAAAGCCCCAAGGTGGGCACCAATTGATGTAGGGAAAACAAAATTGATGTAGAACCACATAATAAGATCACCAAAAGAGAGCTAGTTTAGAGCTAATTTAGGATAGAAATCAAAATTCACCTATAAGAGGGACATTCAATCTTGGGGAATTGACACAAGAGACACATTCAATCTTGGAGAATATTTGAAGTCTTTATTTCAATCGATAATAATATGTTCTCCAATAATTAATGTCTAGGTGCTTATTTATACACTCCAAACGGAACAAAATAGGAAAACCTAATAAGTGTTAATTCAATAGCAAAATTAAAATCTTAATTTAATTACTAAATGATAAATATTAGTATTCCCAAATAATAAAATCTAGAATCTTCATAAAATTTTAAAAGTTCTAAATATATAACTATCAATTTCCATTGTTTTCCTTCACTTTCCATCAATATAATGATTTGAAGACTAACAATTTCTGGGCAGCAGCACTATTTATTATTATTATTTTTCCCCTTTTCTTTACTGACTCGTCCATTTTTTATGTCCACATTATGGTTTACCCAGGCATTCTACTAGTTGAGTTTATGCTTGTGACTTGCGAGTTAGTATTATGATAATTCGAAGGGTGAAAGTAGGTTTTATTTGTCAGACAAGACTATAGATGGTATTGTATTTCATGGTTGACAGATTCCTCCAAATCTTTTGAAAGACTGTAAAGCTCTCCAAAGTATTTCCTTGCACGACAATCCAATTTCTATGGATCAATTTCAGCAGGCAAGACCCAAATTCTGCTCCCTACTGCATTATTGATTTCTATTTTTTTCAGATTAGCAGCAGAGGAAGACGTTTTGTGTGTTTTTATATTGTAATTGAAATCTAACAAAAAAAATGCTTTTAGATGGAAGGATTCCAAGAATTTGAAGCCAGAAGGAAGAGGAAGTTTGACAAACAAATAGATTCAAACGTAATGATCGGTTCCAAAGGCCTTGATGAGGGTGTTGACCTATGATTACTATTGCCTTGATACTCCAGCACTAGAGTAAGTTTCACACCATAACCTTTTATTGATAAGGTTTTCTTCTTTTAACTGGGAGGCCCGTTGAGCATTGAGCTACACAATTGGGAAAGGGAGGTCCCCCCCAATTCTCCCATATCCATGTGATCAGGTTGCTTGGTACTTATGCCAAGCAACTTTACCATCTAAGTGACTAGCATCCACAGTTTCACACCACAGCTGATCTATGATAATTTATTGCAGGGACTGGGTGAAATTGAGCACACTTTTAGAAGGATAAATGATTTACTAAGAACTGGTGAATTCTGCAACTGTCATGTTCCTGCTCATACCCTCAGCCTTCCCTCACACATGTCTTGTTAAGTTAAAATTGGATTAACGTATTTCATTTTTTGTTGCTACATGGGACCATATTATCAATGTCTATTGGTTGATTGTCTGCAAGATCTTGCATGACGAAGTAGAAATTATTCGGTATTGAACAAAAATGAAGCATACATGATCACTGCATGCACATGCGCACACACAAGCAAAGTGTTCAAATGTTCACATTTACTGTTCCTTTTCGACGTGATGCTTCTTCAGTAAAAACATTCCAGAATATGCTCTCTCTTGAACTGTTTTTAATTAATGAAGAAATAAACTAACGTACTTTGTCATGAACAGAATGGATGAGATATTTAGAAGCTAAAGCAAGGGAAACAAGGGTGTTGAATCGTGATGGTTTCAGAGTAGCTCCGATTACAGCTTGAATATTTCGTTACCCGTGGAATAAAACATACAACTCAATTGCCTCATTTGTAAATGTCTTTTCTTTTCTTGTTGAATAGTTTATGATGGGTGTGTTTGTAGTCATTGGCCTGTCATATGCTGGCTTGTACATGCAATGACTGCTTGTTTCTGGTGTATATAGATGATGATACACCTTTTTCCATTTTGTTTTTAAGGCCTTAAAGTGCAGTAGCCTGAATCCATTTTAGTACGAACTGGCCCGGTATATGATTAAAAGAACAAGTGGAGACCGATTTTAATTGTCAGAAATATTTGCTGTCACAATTTGCACTGTTTATTGTTTTAAATCAAAGCAGGTGAATATCACTAATTAAAAGAAAAAATTATTAGTGCTTAATATTGTTGAATAATTTGTTATATGTTACTATTTTAATAATTAACAACGCTAAGGGCAGACTTTAGTAAATACGTAATGATTTAATTTTTTTACGCATGGACCGATGAAAACAATTCTAATGAAAGATATAATGGGAATTGCAATTGATTTCAAGTTTTTTCCCCCTTAACTTATATATATATATATATATATATATATATATATATATATATATATATTGAAAATGCATATGAGTTGCTCAATTGAACAAAAGAAAACAAAAAATGAGCGTAATGTTAACCTCCTTGAAGGATGAGTTTAGCAATTCTCCTCTCTAAAATGCCTTTTTTTTTTTTCCCATTAGTTGGTTGCTCATTCCTATATAATGAATATATTCGTAAGAAAAGTTTTTTTTTTTTTTTTGTTAAAAAAAAAAAACCAACCGGAAGGCTACCTTTCCTCTGGTATCAAATAAATTATAAATTAACCCTTTTAATTTTTAGAAATAAATTAATTATTTTTTTTATCCATAAAAAAATTTTTTTTATAAGTGTTGATTATACTTAATTTAATATTATATTATTTTAAAAAAGATCATATTTTTTATCAATCTTTTTGCATAATTTTTTACTTTTTTTTTCTATTTCTTATAACAAAAAATCAAAATAAATCAAAGAAGAATAAAAATAATTAAATTCCAAAAAAGTTTAAAAATATAAAAACTAAATAATTGGTTTTTAAACTAACAGAGACTAATTAATTTGTTTATCACAACTATTATAATTTGCTCCAGTACTTCTTGACTCAGCCACTAAGCCTTTGAATTGCCCACCGGTTCGGTTCATATAGTCTTTGAATGGTTTTTTTGAGGACTCTCATTTCTCAAATATAACCTTATTAGATTGTTAAATAGATTGTCCTATTCAAGTGGTTTGTTTGCCTAACAATTGTAGGTAGAGATTTGTGTAATTATTCTGCCGAATGATTTGACTTACAATATCTTTTACCTCACTCTTGTATGGAGTTGCTAGGGCTGATTTTTCTACCTTTTTTTTTTTTAATTTTTTATTTAAGAGATGATTTAGATGGATGAATGGATTGGATGGAGCCTCTTTGAGCATGGTAGTTTTAGTAGGTGGTTTCTAGGGTTGCCAAGGAAAGAAAAAAAAAAAAAACCATCTTTGAAATGTAGAAAAGGCTTGTGGTTTTATTCAAAGAACTGTCTTAGCCATTTGAAAAAATCTATTCCTAGTAGGGTTATTGAGACATGCTTCGTGTTTTCTTTTTTTTTTTAATAATAGTTCAGCCTTTTAGAATCGATATGCGTTGGAAACCATTTCCTTTGATGCTTGTTTTTAAGAGCAATAAACATATTATCTAGATGTTTTGAAGGAAATGTTATCTCTTTTTGAATAGTGGCTATATTATAGCTCATATCCGAAGGCATTGGAGAATAAGGTCGACCTTTTAGTTGAGAGGTAGAAGCTTCGGATTTTGCAAGATCAACCCTGTATTGAAGGTGACTAACTTAAGAATCGGACCTTTTAAAGACTACTACGGATTCATTTTCTATATTTATAAGAGGAATAGAAGACATTGATCATCTAGCCACTATAGATCCGCACTCGACTCCCAAGTCCAACCTAATATTTCTTAGACAAAGAGAAAGATACTTCAATATCTCTGTCTACATATTGGGAGATTCTTTTTATTGCTCTAGCATTCTTTTTCCTCTTGAGGGCGACTGTTGTAATTTTCAAGTTTTTGGAAGCAAAACTTAGCTCTAGTATATCATTCTAGGAACAACGGTGTTTGTTTTAGATAGATCTATTGAAAATAGCATTTTTCTTCTTTCTTTGAGCTGATTAGCTCCGGAGATAGCCTTACATTAGGTAGTAATGTATTCATGGCTTTATACCATACTCGTCTATTAGGGCAACATTATCTGATCCTTTTATCATATCAAAACCATTAGTTTTGATGTCAAGTGGTAATGACTATAGTATGTTGGGATCTAATAGGGAGACAAGTAAAATTTGTGAAACATCCAAAATGAATAGGCCCATCACAGAGGGTAGATTCCATTACTCCTAATAAGGAGTCTTCAAAGACATTATTTTAGTCCTAATCTTTGCAAGGGTATTTGGACCATTTACAAGCGTAAATACTTGTATTTTTGCTTATGAGACTCAATTTGAGTAGGGGTGTTGGGTAGCTTCCATTCTTGTAGTTGACTTTCTAGATTTTCTACTAAAATGGGTTCTTTATTTGGTGAGAAGATATTGATCTAGACAAAGATCAAGATAGATGAAACATATTGGCTCTTCAAAGATCATTATCAATGATTTATGGCCTAAAACAGCCTCTCTTGGACTACTACTAGGATTTATCACACGACTTGGGTTTCACCTTGTTAAACCAATAGGCTTAACTACCTAAGTACAGATGCAAGTAAGGTAGTAGTTGATTGAAAAAATTCAAAATAGGTCGAAATTTAAATTAAGATAGTATTGACTCCACTTTATTTCATTTCTGAAAATGGAATGGGATTGACAGCACTTATGTTTTTATATGTGAACTGTCAGTTGAGAGGCTTTTCAAAAAGATTTCATAAATCCTTAACCGGACATTACACTAGCTAATCCTTCACATTTGGTTTTAATTAGATAAGCCGACACCAACAAAAATAAAGCCTTACAGAAAAATCCGAACTTTATCATTACCATTATCACAAGCATTATGTGTGTTCTTCTATACTAACAATGCCTAACCTGTATATATGACGATTAGAGTTCTATCGTCACTTTGGAAGAACATTGGAAAGTGCTCTCCGTAAGATCCCCAAGTGCTGAAACGTATGGTTTGCAAAATTGTTGAGATTAAGAGTGGACAGTTTTTACGCTGAATACGTTGCTAGTTTTATAAAAACTTCATTTTCTTCTTAAATAGCCTAGAAGAAAGTTTCCATTTTTTCCTTCCATTTTATTTATTTTTCCATAACGAAAAAGTGAGGTCACCATTACTTAAAGTCACTGTCAGTCACCGAAAGTTTCTTCAACTCAGTTAGGGCATAATTAAAAACCCACATGTTAATCTGAACGACATCTTGGCTCCCAGCTCAAAGGTAAATTAGACCTGCTCATGTTATGATATAATTGCCAACTGTCCAGTAATTGTGTCTGAGAATCGCTTCGTCTAAAAAAGAAAAATGGAAAACAGATGCTGTAAACCTTCAAAAAAAAAAAAAGAGCATTTTCATAAATAATCTCAGGGCCACTAACCATTACATTTTTTACATGTAGTAAGATACGTCCCAAAAAAATGCTCAATTGTAGGAAAAAAGAAAGCAAACAATCATTATGGGCCTCTCTTTACTCCTATTTCCTCCTAGCTTTTGGATGCATAGGATTGCAATCAACTGGGTAGTTTCTAGATTTCCATTTCTCATCATTCAGATGCAGGACTTTCTATTTAGCTGATTGTTCAATAGCGTCATTGTTGGGTAATAAGACACGAGCATTTTCTTGAGGGTGGGATTCTTGACAAGTGTCTCCTCTTGGCAAGGTCTCTTGAGTTTTACTTGCAGGAGAGAAATCAATCCATCATATAGGAAAACACTTTGGAAGCTGGCCATACATAATGACGATCACTTTCCATGCTTCTTGCCTGCAACTTTAAAGAAAAATTTAGTCAAATTGGGCATTATGGAACTTCATGAAGATGCATGCACGGTGGCAACTGGCAACGACTATCATGATTTGATAAAATTAATTGAGTAGCGGTAGCCCCACTAAGCCAGAGTTCAAGTTTCGCAGTATTTCCTAAATTACAGCATCAGTTATGACCATCATAATGGGGAATGATGGTCAATGATGGATTAGCAACATGCTGTCCCCAATCAATTGTCTGAGATTCAATTTACTTTCATTTCTTTAGGTATAAATCAACCCCCTCCAACAATTAATCAAAGTTTTGAGGTAAAACAGCAGGGTTGAGAAAGGAATGAAACATGGGTCTTACATGATTTAATGAAATGAGAAAACAATGATGGCATAGCCCAAGTTGGTATGATATGATACACAACCTTTAAGAAAAAAAAAGTAATGAGGTGATTAATATAATCATTTCCGTACCTTTTTTAAACCATGATTTTCGGACTGCCTGGCGAATGTGGCGCTCATGTCTTTCTAAGAGTTCATCCACTCTGTGCGTTTGGGATAACAAGGGTCCAGAAAAGTCAACCTTGGCCGCTTGATCTTGAAAAACCTGCTCAAGTTAAACCTTAAGTAAGATAATCAATAGAAAGTTCAAATTATACTTTGCACTCCTCTAATTTTTTTTTCAACTCACAAAAAATAACAAAGACGAATAGAAAAAGATTAAAGGTAACTTCATATCCTCTGTGCATTTCAAAAACTCTACCAATGACTAGAACAATGGTCAGTGAGCTAATCCCGTTTATTGGTGTCAAAGTTTACTGACTCTTAGCTTAAACCATGACGATGTGAAAATTATATTTAGCAAGCCTGATCTTTGCTTTTGTTTCAATATATAAAGATCAATAAACAAACGAAAAGTTACTTGCGACAAATATTAATGCTCTTTTTTTTTTTTTTTTGAATTTTAAAGTTCAAAATTCTCTCAAGAGTAAAAGAAATCAAAATCTTGAAAAATTACGGCCCCTGTTGTTGCCATTGCTAAAGCACACCACCACTTGTAATCAATTAGCATTTCTCAACTGCAACAGCCAGCCAGCCAGCAGTTAGGTGACTCGAACCCTGCTGCTGACTCAGTATTCACCACCACCTCCCAGTTCTACCTAACTTGGAATTTCATTCAATTCTAAACTATGCAAAGTTACATGCGCCTTCAGACAAATTGAAACCAAACATCAAGACAGATATTTCATTTCATCTTTAGACTGTAATTAAAGATAGATGCGGTTCTAATATTTACAAACGTACCAAATTACTTCTCTTGGCTTCCATTCCCTCTCTTTGATAAAGGGCCAATGATAGTTCTTGTGAATGGTACTCCTCAGAAGCATCAAAAGAATCTGGACGTTCAAACTGACTCCATTGTTTCTGCAAAGCAAGCTTAGAAATCCCATATGAATCATGGCCTCTAGAATTGGTACGAACTCCATATATGAGATCCCCTTTATCATGTCCTTTAGAGTCAGAATTATTCTTCTCTTGCAATGCAGAAGAGGGTTCTAATCCATTATTAGAACAACCTCTTGAAATAGACCTGATGTGGGATCTTATGGATGCATCATCTTTTTGCCTTTTTGCCCAAGCAAAACCACTTGAACTAGAAACTTGCAATGGGCCAGAAAATGGAATGTCTCCTTGGGATGCATTCTTTATATGGAAAATCTCTTCAAACTTATCAATCGATTGCTTCCGTGCCTCTCCACCAGACTTGCCAGCTCCTCCCTTTGGAATACGCATATTACTGGTATTGATTTGAGCACATTGCATTTGAGCTGCTAGATCCTGGAGACAGAAAGGAACTTATCACTATCAGTGTGGATCAACTTCCACAAAGACCTGTGTGTGTGTGTGTGTGTGCATGTGTGTGTGTGTGTGTGTGTGTGCACATGCGCATGCACAAACGTGTGCGAGAGAGACCTCTCCTGGTGCCAATTTACTGATTCTGCATGGTTTTCTCGTACACTTTCTTGTTTCAGTGCCACGACCTCTCCCACTGATCTTTTTCCTGAAAGTTCAAAGCCAATATAATTGGATATCAGTATAAGTGCATAACCTACAATCCTGGAGGTTTGAATTTATAATAATACGCCTGTAGTCCATATGGTTTCCAGTCATAAATTTCCAAGTCCACAAAAGGTTTGAAAATTGACAGGCTTTTAAATGAGATTTTAACAAGTGGCGTCTGTTTCATTTTCTTGGTAATACCAGCAGTCACATGACATTCCAATGCAAATTTAAAGCATAATGGACTAATTTGATCATCATTGGACTCCATGGCCATAAGTTGCTCAACTTCAAAATCTCATATCCAGAAAATCCAGTTAATTATGTGTCTCAATTGCTACAACAGATATGGAATGACTTCATTGCAAGCGCTCTTTGAAAAAGCAATACTGCCAAACCAATGTTTAATTTAAAGGAGAAACCAAATCTTTTAAGAGAAAACTGGATAAGAAGACTTAGAATCCTCACCTCCTTGACTCCTCGCGGTATTTTGCATCAATCTCTTTGCTAGGTGGGTATTTTGGAAAGCTTGATGGATCACATGGATAAGGTTTTGTGCTGAAATACTGAAAAATTGTAGGTCAGGGGCTTGTGTTAAAATAATCCTACTGATGCATAAACCTATGGCACCAAGTTACACAATTTCCATTAAAAAAAAAAAAAAAACCTATACAACCAAAATGGAAATAAATGAAGGTTAAACAAGAACTCTATTTTTTGGTCAGAACAGAATGTACGGCTAAAATGAGGCCCACTACTGTAACATGATTCAAATAGAACTTTATAAAATATATTTAATTTCCATGGCTATATGAATCAATCTCATCTCTTGCAACTGGCATATCAAATGCTATAGGAGGTAATAATCACCTCAGATGCAAGAGCAGAAGTAGTAGTCCCACGCTTGTAAGGCTCTACTGAGAGAAGAGTTTCAATCAGGTTCACAGCAGTTGTTGGCAAATCTTTAAAGGTCTCTCGAAGACAACTGTCATAAGGTTGCTGAGGTTTGAATAAAGTTGCATGAGGAAGTTTAGACTTTTTCCAGTATTCTTCAGGCGGGGACCCACAAAGCTTGAAAATTTTGTGTAATTGTTCAACCTGAAGAGGGAAAAAAAAAAAAAAGAGCAATCGTACAAAATCTTGAAGAAAAAGTCAAATTAACACAAATCACATGAACAGCTAACTTTTATTAAATATAATGCTTTAGTCGTCTGCAACACCAAAACTGGGAAACATCTAAATCTAAATCATGCCACAAGTGCATGCTTGCGATTTGCCACCCTCTACTATTAAATGAAGAGAATCAGAAAACCAAACGGGATGTCTGTATAGTTTACCAAGTTTTATTTCCATATTCTAGAGATTACTTCATGTTGGATGATTATAACTTCATTTTTTATTCCTTTTTATTTTCCCTCTTAGATAAAACGACAGCTGCATAGTGATAACCCACATCAACTAGAACTAGCAACTGCCATTATGTAATAAATACCAAATGGTTCTCCGCTCAAAGCCATATCACATTGCAATATGGACAAAAGAAAAGCACATCAGGTATCATAACAGAGTATTCTTTAAGGAAATTTAATTATACGGTCCATTTGTGAATTGGAGAATTGTACATGATGATTTTCAGGAATCTGCCTCTGAAGTGGGGTTCACATAACTCTACCATTGATACCACTATAATGAAAGAAAAAGAACATGGAGATATGTAGCTTATGAACCAATCTACTTTATTTCTATTAATTCTAACCTAAGAAAGATATGAGAATAGTAGAAGTATTTAACTACAGATTTCTCCCACATAAATCATTACCACCTTTTATTTAGTATATATCAACAATCGTACAAAAAACGACTAGACAAATAATAATGCACAACCATGTACATAAAATCGATGCTTACCTCTGTTCTCCCTTGAAGGATAGGTTTTCCAAGAAGAAGTTCTGCAAATACACAGCCTACACTCCAAAGATCCACAGATGCTCCATAATCAGTGGAACCCAACAAAAGTTCAGGAGGACGGTACCACAGAGTCACAACACGACTGGTTAAAGGTTGTTTGTGCCCGAAAGTGCAGAAGTTTGCCAATCCAAAATCTCCTACCTTCAGTATACCTTCATTGTTTACAAGAAGATTTGATCCTTTGATGTCCCGATGCATTACACCTTTTGAGTGACAGTGATCAAGTCCTGATATTAACTGCTTCATGTAGCACTTAATCTGGAAATATAGAGTAATTTATGTACTTCAGTGCACAGAAATAAACAGCAATTAACTCCCTGAGGTGGCACCTTAAACATGGAATGAATGTGAACACATTTTTTACATGCTATTACATTTCTTTGTATTCAAGAATGACTAAGCTTTGTTTTGTACAGTAAACTCTTCATTTGATGCCACAGATTAAGAGAAACTTTTTATATCCATGACGTCTTGAAACACCCAAAAAAAAAAAAAAAAAAAAAAAAAACTAGAAAGCCATACACAGGCGCAGAGTTAAGACCTGAGACTCACTGAACCTGACATCAGGGCAAGACAAGAGTCCAGTGATATCATGCTCCATGTACTCAAAGACAAGGTATATGCTACATGATAACCGTGAAGTAATTAATCCATCCAATTTCATGATGTTGGGGTGGTCAAGCCTACGAAGAATCAGTATCTCTCTTGCCATAAATCGAACGCTCTCAGGCTCAAAATTGTCAAACCGAACCTTCTTCAGAGCAACAATCCTCCCAGTTTCAGTCTCACGTGCTCGGAACACACTGCTATATGTCCCCTGTCCTATCTACCAAAGCAATTGAGCATAAAATAAGTTAACCATCCAGTTGAAGAGGGGAATATAAAATAAAATGAAATAGCAGCAGTCATCGAGGAAGAGATTCAGTTCAGGTGACTAAGAAGACAGGATGCCTTCACACTTGACAGTATAGATCGTAGTCCTTACATGAAAAGTGCATAAACGAAGCAACCAACAACCAAAAAATAATAATACTAATAACAATAATAAAAAGTGCAATTATGAGAATCGTGAACTATAATTCGGAAAATTTACTTATTATAATATCGTCAGCCTTCCACTACCTGGCATTTTGGAACCAACTTGTCCAGAGATGATTGTAGCTCAACAATGTATAAACCTTTAGCATTATATAAAGATAAACAGAAAAGTTGTTTTGACTATCAACCAACCCCCAATTGGATTGTTCATTTTAAAATATAATTTAAAAAAATAACGCACAAACAACAACATTTATTTTTGTCAAAAGCAAAGAAAGAAACTAGTAATGTGAGTGCAATGGGATAGCCTACCTACCTTTCCATTTTTCATATTAAAAACAAAAGGACAAAAGAAAAAGAAACAAGGACATGCTAATTATTAAACCAAACTAACAAAACAGAATAAAAACAAAAACCAACAACACATTGTGTAAAATGACAAACAAAACAACCCATCTCCTCTATTTTAATTTGAATTAAATCAAACTTGTATAATTAACTAACAACCTTGTCCAATTTCTCAAAAGCATCAGCCTTGAGAGGTACCCAACCGTGAATGGCTTCGCCAGCGACGGCGCTTAGCCAGGCGGGCCAACCTGCGGCCACCTGCTCACCTTCAATGTACTTGTGCAAATTCCTCAATCTAAAGCTCAAGGACTCGCCATTTGAACTCGGAACTCTTCCTGACTCACCCAACTCGCTCCCTCCGCAACTTACGACCACCTGATAATGGTGACGGTGATCCCCACTCTTGTTGAAACTAGGGTGCTGATCCAATCCGACCTGAACCCGGCCCGACCCGAACCCGCCGGAATGGTCCAGCGCTGGTGTGACGGACACCGCCTGCTTCGAGCTCACGCAACCCATTTTTGTATGGGGTGGAGGCTGGTCCCGGTTTCAGTGAGCCGGGTCAGTGAATTCGGATCCAGAAGGAGGAGCTTCAGAAACAGAGAATGAAAAGGGTTTTTTGGGTTTGTAATTGCATGCCCAGCTTTCTTGAAAAGAACAAAAAAGGATTGTTTTGCTATTTATAACCATCAAAAATGAAAAGCAAAAGCTTTCGAATGTTTGTTTGGATTTATACTACTGCTATATAAATGCAAAGTAGAAATTAAGACCCATGCTATGCTATCCAACTTTTTCTATTTTTTTTTTATTTCTCACTACAGTTCTGCGACAATCGCGGAAGATTGATGATTTGATGAGTAAATTATAAATGAGTCCTTATTGTTTGAAACATAAATTAATTAGTCCTTTTGTTTCAAAACATAATTATTTAGTCTTTTTTATCTATTTTTTATATATATATATAAAAAAAGACATTACAAAAATATTCATGAAAAAAAAAGATATTTTTTAAAATAAAATAATATTAAATTAAATGTAATAAATACTGATAAAAATTACATAATTATTTTTTGAAAAAATGACTAATTAATTTGATTTTTTAAATAGAGGTACTAATTTATAATTAAACCAATATTGGATCTTGAATAGACCATTTTAATCACCGAGATCAACGGAAAGAAACATCAAACGATAATGATGATAATGACTGCCATGAATGATGACACACTATCCTTGACTACGATACACAACTCATGTACATTACATGTGCAAGTATAGGTCGAAAAAAATAAAAAACAGTATCTTCACTAATTTTATTAAAATAATCAAAAATTACAGAAGAAGACAATCCGACTTTATTCTAGAATAGGGAAGACAAAAAAAAGTCTAACCCTAAAAATATACAGTGTCTTGACTACGATCACGAATTTCTCGAGAAAAGTCCTCACGTTTATGAAAAAAATAATAATAAATAATATATGAAAATGATCTAAACTAGCTAAACTATATTTTGCTCACAAAGAACAAGTTTGAATTTGTAATGTATATAGCATTGACGGATTTGTTGAACGTACATGATATCCATGGTTGCTGATTCTTTTTATTTAATATATTCACAGCAATCTGAAAATCCGGATATACTCCAACCTGCTGAAAAGAAAGTTGTCGACAAAGGTGAATGCACCCATATCCATAGAGGTCAAATATAGGATATTGATTTTATCATATATATATCCATTGATGATGCATCCATATAACTTGTAATGATTTTGAGCATCATCCATAATCATAATGAAAATAATAAGCCTATCAAAATGTTAGTTCAGATGGTAAAAATAAAATATATTCTTGTTAAGTTTTAAATTTCAATTGTGATATTATATTATTAAAAAAAAAGGGGGGTTTGTTTTAATTTTGACATTTTTTTATGGAAGTATTTGTAATTAGTTAAAAAATAATATTTTTAGTTTATATTTGAAAATTCGTTTCAAAATGATTTTTTAAAACTACTGTTCATTTAAAAAAAACATTAATTTGATATTTTTTTAAATCATTTTCAATAATTCTGATATTTTCATATTAAAAAAATCCAAAAATATTTAAGCAAAAAACACATAAAAATATATATATCAAACATGCAATGTGAAATGGTGGCTATAGCATGTTGGGTCTATCTATGCATCTGTGCGCGCAACACAGCATAGTGGGAACGGGAAAGGATGAAAACAAGAAAAGTGGGTGAGTGAGGCGAGACGACCTTTTATTCTCTGTTTTTGATTGATGTCTTGTCTTGCTGTCTTGTCTTGTATTGTTTAAAAAACAAGTTTTTTTTTTTTTTGGTACGTTGCGATGTGAGTGCATGGCCAGAGGGAGGGAACGGGTTGGGCATTGGCTATGAATTAACAATTTGCGATTCGACGCCTTGGATAATTTTGCACATTTCCTTTGAGATATTCTCATTGCAGTATAGTGGTGGCCAGTGGGCAGTTTTGGTTACGGGTTTTGGGTTGGGTGGGGTGGGGTGGGGTGGTTGTAACGTGGAGTCATGATGTCTTCAACTTTTTTGAAAATTTTTGGAAAGTGTTTCTTTTTTTCTTTAAATTTGATTTACACTTGACGTAATAGTAAGGGAATTCATCAACAATGATAGGGATTTTTTGGAAAGCAACCATACAAGTCACCTATAGGAGGGTGTTGCGGGCGGTAAAGGCCTCAATCAGTTAAAATAAAAATTAAGGACTAGTATTGTATTTTTCTATCATATCGTACTACAATTTATCTTTTACATCATATAGAATTTGGTTAGGGGTTTGGGTCCATCTTCTTACGTTTTTTTTTTTTATTAACTTATATAGGAGTCGAGATTAAATTTTTCTATAAAATTTAAATCCACCATTTTATCTTTTACGAATTTAGAGCATCTTTATGCTACTATGTTTCTTCTTCGGTGGACTTTATTGTTAATGTTAGTGCCACTCCAAGCTACAATTTATACACTATAATTACTAGCCTTCAAAGCTGAAACACTTTTCTTCTTTAACCCTTTTAATGTCACTCCATAAGTTGTTTTATTTTTCTTAAAAGCATGCTTTTGGATGTTGGGAGATTATTAGAGGTTACGGTGCAATTAGAATTTTTTTTTTTTTTTAGCATAGATTTCATCATAAAATCTAATGTTATAAGTGATGAGGTTGTTGATCATGGGTAGAATGAATGGATTGATGAGTTTTTCCTTGAACCGATCATACGACGATGGAGTGTCCTTGCATTGTGATCTTGACGGTAATATCTACAAAATAAAATATTTCCCTTGGATTTAAAAAGACCTCTAATGGTTAAGTTAGTATACTAAGAGAGGTGAATACGAGCTTTAATAGGTTTAATTGTATATATCAAGAGTATAATGCCTTATTAGGTTTATGAAGAGTGTTTCTCCGTATGAGATAGAGAATATATATAGTGATTAAGTTTTAGTTTCTTGACTTAGCTACATGATGGGCAATGCTTTCTTTGCCTTTTCAGCATCGCACGTGACTTTACCTAGGTTCTAGCCCTCTATTTAGTGTGTTTGGGGTCTCTTCTTTTACGGTGATTATTGGATCCGGTTTGTATGGAGATTGATAGCATATTCGTCTTTCTTATAAAGGTAGTTTGGTATTACATTTATCGTGTAACGGCCATTAACAATTATGGTGATCCTCCAAACGAAATGTCTTTTTTTGATGTAAGACACGTCCCTAGCATGTGGAATGATGTCTTTCATTTAATGCTTGTCTCATCATTATTTTATGAAAATTGAAGCCCGAAGGTGTATGATGATGCGAGGATGAGCAATCCCTATTAGTGGGAGCCCTTTACTATATGGGGCTTGTGTAGTCATACTAAGGGTAAAAAAGACCATAGCACTATGTTGATGAGAGAGACTTATTGAGTGTATTTTTCCCATATATACTAGTAGCCTTCTTAAGTCTTGGGAAAGTATGTCTTACAAAAGACTCAATCTTTTTTCGAGTGATGCTCCGGTTATTTTGACCTTTGGCAAAACCATTGGGGTGCAATGTTTATTGCATGGGGCATAACTCTTGGCGAAAGTTTGAATGATAATGAAGGCAAGACACTTAAATCTTATTTAACAAAAAATCACAATCATACATTTTCAAAAACTAGGTCGACTCATCCGTACCATTCACTCATGCTTCAATTACATTGATACATGACATATTAATGAAACATATTTCATTTTAATCATAATTATAAATTCATATTTCTAATCATTTTATAAAATATTAAAATTTTTTAGATTTTTATTTTAGACCTTGGGCTTATAGGCTTTTAAGCCTAGAAGGCCTATGGGTCGCCACATACTAGCTAGCATTGGCCAATAGCTACCACTACCCCGGCGTGCTTACACATGTTTGGCTTGGTGCTAGCCACTTGTCGGTGCCTAGCACTAACCTTGGGCAGCCGATTGGCTAATACCTAACACTAGCCTAGCATACTCACACTTGCCTAGCTCGGTGTCTAACGCACTCGCATGGCCGGCCTAGGAACACCCGGCCTCGACACATGCCCAACATGTGCTTGACTTACACAAGGCACACCTAGCATGCCCATAAACTTGACACACGTGTCATACGCTTGTTATGTCGCATGCCTAGCTCATGACTAGCCTAGCCAGCAAGTCCGGTTTGCTCGAGGCACATATGGCTTGTCATACACCTAGTGTATGACTAACCTAACTAGAAGGCTTGCCGTGTGCAATGCACGCCTAGCTTATAATGCTTCCAACGCGCAATTGACTTGACATACGTGAGGCACACTTAGCTTATTACGCAACCAATATATGACTGGCTTGGCTAAAATTTTTGGTCTATATGACGCATGCCTAGCCTATCGCTTACCTAGTACGTAACTAGCTTTGCAAAAAGGTTTGGCTCGTGCGAGGCACACTTGACTCGTCATACACTTAGCACGTAACTTGCCTAGCCATAAGGCCCGTCATTCGTGAGACACGTTTGGCTCGGCCATGATGCTTAGTGTGCATGAGGCATGCTTGGCTCGTAGCCATCCAACATGTAACTAGCTAAACAATGAAGCATGTGTGCTAGCCACTAACGTCTAACGTTGGCCTCTACGCGCACCCATTATTTTCTTAGCCCAAAAATAGTTTTCAAATATTTATAAAATATAAAAAAATATCAAATTTACAATCAAAAGTTGATAATTTATGTAATTAATTATAATTAATAAAATATAAAATTAAAGATTCAACGGAAGCTTGAAGGATCATGCATCCTATGAAGGTGTATAATAAAATAAAAAAATTTCTCTATCTAAGGCTTTCAAGATCTAGCCATTGACTTAACTAGCCATACATACAAGAATTAAAATTAAGAGCAAAATATTACCTCTTGTAGTGCAAATTTAGCATTTGTAGAAAAAGGAGTTGTCCAAGTGTTCGACCTTTATCGATAATTCACGTAGCTTAAACTCATATAAAGGAAGCCACGGAAATCAAA